ACCTCCAAAGGCGCGCCCCTTTGTCAGTCAAAATTTGATTCCTTAGCAACAAAATTAAGGAATGACACCAGTAATGACCATGCATCAGAACCCTAGTCTTAATCACTTCAAACTAGGGAACAACGAATAGAAGATTAGGAATCACATAGATGAAGACTAACTACCTAATTTTTTCCTTGTTTCAAGATCATCCTCGGTGGACAAAGCCGAGTCTTGTCACTATCAACAAGGCATACAAAGTAACAAGGACTAAGATGTATTCCTTTGATTACTGAAAAATCCTGTTCCCTAGTTTGAAATAGTCAGGGCTAGGAATCAGTAATAGATCTTACATCCCGTAACGTACCACGAAAAAGTGATCTACCCACGTTACGGGGAAAAATACTTTAGTTTCTTCAGTTATTTTTCGCTCTAGAATTTGATTATCTTTCAGATTATTGCTTTGAGCATAGTTATCAGCATAGGCTTGTCCTGGGTCCGTAAAAAAAAGGTTACTTTTCCGTGTTTCTCTTACGGTGTGAATATGGTAAATTGCTGAAATTTAAAATTATTCAAATTACATGATATATTACATATTAAGCAAAAATGCATTTGAGGCCTTCGTAAGCCGCACAAAGTTCACCACCGTACTCTTTTAAGTTAGTACCGTAAAACGGGGTATCTTTGATAATTCGGGTAACTTTGATAGTATAATATAAAGAATAAACTTACTCGCTGTGCTTTTTCCAAATAAAAAACATTGGTTCTATATTGTAGCTAAGGGTATTCTCGTTGATATGGTATATAGTTTTTATATAGTATGCGTTACATATTTTACAATTAATAAACCATTTTCGTGTTTTTCGCCTTTTTTTTTTCCTTTGGTTTGTTTTTTCGGTCGATCTTGTTTTCCGTGCTGAGCACCAATGCTACCGACGTGCCAGGAAGGCAACTCCTACACCTGGACCCTACCTATCGACCCATCAAACTCATGAACCGGGGACCAACGGCTTTACTTCCCATCTGAAGGAAGGCGTGATCACAGATGTTATGCCTCAGAACATCCCGGCGGCGCCGACTGGGATTGAACCCAGGCCTGCTGAGGTGAGAGGTAATCACGCTTACCACTACACCACCGGCGCCGTTTTTTTTCGCCTTTTTGAAAAAGCACTCGAAAAATTCAAATGCAGTTTTTTTTTCGACGCATCATATCAGATTGCAAAAAGGTCGCGTAATTCTATTATTTTTGCTATTTTACACAACATGACGTGATCTTTTTGCAATATGAAGTGATGCGTCGAAAAAAACTGCATTTGAATTTTGCGAAAATGCATCAATGTAAAAATGTAAACTGTAATTGCCCATTCCCATTTCCAATTTCCCTCTATAGGAACTGTGTGTAAAATGTAAACTGATAATGAATTGTGCATAAGACTGTAAATCAAAATGACATTTCTCGCTGGCATCACTGGATTTTCTGTGTCACTTATGTTAATTTTGATGTCGGACGCGCGTTCCGGTTTGGTTGGCGCGCGTAATGCAATAAATTTTATGCTTGGATATTATTTATTGTACATCATTTCGCCCTATTCAGATACCCCTTCTGAAACTTGTGAGTTTGACAAAACCAACAGCACCAAATTGTCGCGGTACACTGGCAATCAGCAATGCCAGATTGTTTTTAAGTTTATCGGTATCAAAGATATTAAAAAATCGGTATTCATCGGTTTTAACTCCTTATTTAATTTTATATTTTTGCCGGGAATATTAAAATTAGCTACTTAATGGAGCTGCAAAAACATCCAGAGAAAGACGAAAGAAGTTCTCCTGGATGAAGTTTGAGAAAAGCTGGAAAAACATCCGAGAAACTTCCGAGCGGCGTATTGAGAAACATGTGGCAAAAATGTATATAAACTATCGAAAAAAAATCGGAACATCCAAAGGAAACCAGAAAACTTTTGGAAACCAGAAGTAAATTTCCAGAAGTAGCCATTTCCAGGGAAAGCCAGAAGAAGCTCGGAAAAACCTTCGAATAGAAGTCGAACAAAAAAACCTTTGGTTTATGGTCAAACTTCCAGAAGAAGACGAAAGAAATTTCTGGACTTCCTGGAGAAGACGAAAGAAACTTCCTGGAGACGCTAGTAGAAACTTCCTAAGGTAGATTGGAAGAAACATCTGAAGAAAGTCGGATACCAGTTGAAACAGTCGAAAGAAACAAGGACATCATTCCGGAAGAAAGAGATTCCTGGGGGATGTTCTAATGATCCAGAAAAAATTCCTGATATTCGTAAAACATAGTTGAAGACTCCAGGGAAATCCCTGATGTTTTCGGAACATTCCTGAAATGCACTTAGGAGGATTCCATAATTCCTCGAAATTCCTTAAAAGTTCTTTTAATTTTCCTGATATTAGGGGCTGTTTTGGAGTTCTCTGGTCATCCTCGAAGCGCTCGGACCTTCCCTGATTATAATGAGACTACCAGAATATCTCTAACCATCTTTGAAGGTCTTTGGACTTTCTTGAAGATTACGAAATTTTCTTGAATTTATTGTAACATCAGCATTTAAGTTCACTGACCTTCCTGATTTATTTATTTATTTTTATTTTTAAAAGTTATCGACAGCCATTAAAAACATAGAACTTCTTCTATAAAATGTTCTTTCAATATTCTAATGTTCATGTAACTTCCCTTACGTTTCTTAAATTTGCATGAGCCCCTCAGGAGTTGCTCGGAACTCCTTTATAATTTCAGCAATTTCATTGAAATTAATCGATCTGCCCTGATGTTCTCTGAGCTTCACTAAAATTCGTGAAAACCATTAAATTTCCCTGAAGTTCTTTGGACTTGTGAAGATTCCAAAATATTTATGATGTTCCCTTAAGTTCACTGGAGTTCACTGGAGTTTTCTAAAGTTGCCGGGTTTTTGAATTTTAACAGAAGTTAATATAACTGTCTTTAATTTATCGAAACTTACACAAAAGTCAGGACTTTTCTGAAGTTTCAGAACTTCTTAAATGTTCCTGCAGCTAGTGTTGATCCGCAATAAAAATCTGATAGCATCCCCAAGTAACACATAAAACATCTTTTTGAAAAAGAATTAGAACGGCTTGTTGTATAAATGTATTATAAGAGATGCAGAAAACATCCCACGTTATATACGAGGTTTAAAGATGTTTTCTTCATACTTCTTTGATTCAACATTTAGTTTTCTTTTGCTTTTATCTTTAAATGTTATTTGAACGTGCATCTTACTATTTTAATACCACTATAAAACTTATCGTATAAAAAATCAATCCAGATTGACGTAAACATTGACGGTGCCATTGAGCCGGACTGTCTCTTCATGCAGTGATTGACATTTTCTTATGAGGTATTCGGAGGTTTGTTATAAAGAAAGTTGAAAATACTTTTTTATGACATCTCATAAATTAATACAACTGCAAATGTGCAGGTTGTCTTATAAGGAGTTGAAAATACGTTTAAATACCATTCTGGCAATTAGATGTACGCTTTGCTACTAACAAAACGTTTTCATGACGGATCGAAGGCGTGTTGAACGAGAAAATAATTTTCATGCCATTGGCAAGAACATGATAGATACTTATAACAAACCTTTCATCAAGCGGTGTTGGTCTAGTTAGGTAGTAACAAGTTTACCACGCCAAGGACCACTGTTCGAATTCCCCATGCTCAAGTTTTTTATTGTTTTTTTTTTTACTGGTTTTTATGATGTTTCCAAAACATGTTATAAGACCAGTATTTAGTTGTATAAGCTCCACGTCTTCCGCTTTTTAGGTTGTATAAATGTATTAAATGATGTATATTAAAGTATTAGCGATTCTTTGCGCTAGTCATTACAAAGTATTTTCAACTTCTTTATGACAAGCCGCTTGGGTCCTTGAAGTTCCGGGAAAGTTGAAAAAACTGGCGGGAGAAGATAATAGAATCATTCGAGCGAAGGCTGAAGAAGTTTCCTAGGTAAGGTGGAAAAAAAATCCGGGGAAAGTTGGATGAAACATCAGGAAATCTAAAAATGAATAAAAACATCCGGAAGTTAACTAATGTTTAAAAAATATTTCTCGATTCCCTTGGAATTACTGGAAAGAGCCATTGACTATTTCTCGATTGATGGGTAGCCAAAAACAGTGAGGAAATGCAAACATTAGTCGAAAGAGTATCAAGCATAAGGCATCTTTAGAGATGATTGTTTAGAATTTTGAAGGCTAAAAAAATATGAGGTATTCAAAAAGATATAAGTCTCTCACAAAAATTTTCCCCGAAATTCGAGCGCAGGCAGTCAATAATAATTTTGATTATTTAAGAAAAAATCGGTATAAATCGGTATAAAATCTCAAAAATCGGTATTCTGAGGAACCTTATCTGTATATCGGTATCTAGTTCAGAAATCGGTACAAATACCGATAAATCGGTATATCTGGCAACGCTGCTCGCAATATACTGGAGTTTTCAAGTTGCCCCTGAGTTGATCCGACCTCTGATGAGTCTGGATGCATTCGGTCATCTACGTCTACATTGCGGGGTGCGTGGGGCTTTACGGGCTCGTTATAGTAGCGCAACCAACAATACCTTTGCTACTTTTTTGCAAAAAAGCCAAAAATCAGATAGCATCGAAGGTACTTTTTGAGTTACTTTTTTCATGCATTACGGTCACAAACTCAAAAAAGTAAACCCATTTTTGCATGACAAAGGGGCACACCTCAAATAAAAAGTAGTTAAACTCGTTGGACTGTTTATTTTATGATCGGATATTGTAGAATGAATGAAACACACTCGATTCACTCAAATGGATCTGAAAAGATGCAATAAAAAGAATCTTAATTCACAAAAATTCAACAGGTTTTTTATAACGCTAATTTTCAAACGTTGATTGTGAAAATGCACACATTTTGAGTTGTGACAGTTTTGCACGGAACCGACGATATCTGTTTTTCTGTGTGGTAGCCGGTAGCTGCAGCAGTTTTGAATTGGCTTTAAAACCTTCTTTTTTTTTACTTTTCAGCATCCTCATCTTAGTGATCATCTCATCAATGGTAGCCCATGGACTCGTCCTAGAGTGTGTCGAAGGTAACTCAGGCTACTACAACAATAATCAGAATTGTACCTTCCATGATGTAAACATCGACGATATATCAAACGTTGTATCCTTCCGAGCAAGCTACTACTCTCGCTACAACTTCCAGTTTATCAATTCGGTTCTGATTGAAATTCCCAAAAAGATATTCGAAGCGTATTCCTCTGTTAGGACGCTGTACGTGGCCGACTGTGGGATAGAAATAGTAAGTCGGTACACTTTCGAACGTGCAACCGAGCTGCTGTTTTTGAACTTGTCCGGAAACATTCTGGCGGAATTAAACAACTACGTTTTCACCGGTGCAAGTCAATTGAACATACTGGACCTAAGCTACAACAATATCTCGAAAATTGAAGAAAAAGCCTTTAACAATTTGAATGTACTAACAACGCTATTCCTGACTGGCAATAAGTTAAAAGCTCTGAATGACGATGTGTTCTCGCATTTGCCGAATATGAGAAAACTGTATGCTGCCAAAAATGAACTGCAAACTCTACAAAGCGGATTGTTTCAATTCAATACACTTCTGACGATGTTGTTCTTGCAAAGTAACCAGTTAGTGTTCATGGACAAAGATTTGTTCAGTGGCGTGAATGAAATGGACTATCTATGGCTGAGCAATAACAGTCTAACCAGTTTCGACTTCAATGGTTTAAAAGTGAAAAGAGTAAATCTAATCCGCAATAAATTGCAGAAAGTGAAGCTGAGTCCAAACGTGGAAAAATTGTATCTGAATAACAACAGCATATCGGAAATCACTGCCGATGACTTTAAAGAACTCAAGTTGACTCTTTTGAGCGTAACATGGAATAATCTTACATCGATGGACGGTATTGATGAAATAAGCTCCCTAGAAGTTCTTGATCTGTCGCACAACAAAATAGGTGCATTGAAATTGTCAAGTTTTGCTTCTCTAAAAAATCTAGCTGATTTAAATCTGGAAGACACAAAGATCACCAATCTGCAGCACGGAACATTTTCCCAGCTGACATTACTCAAACGTCTGGATATCTCCTACAACAATTTGAACCGTATCGATTTGGACATTTTCACTTCTTCACATTTAATACAGGAAATGTTCATCGAAGGAAATCGGCTCAAGGAGATTAATTATGAAGAACTTCGCAAAATCTTCCCTTCGTTGAGTAAAATAAGCATTGCCGATAACAATTGGAACTGTTCCTTCCTTACCCGAATGATACGTAGCCTGAATACGCAATCAATCGCAGTCGGAGGTTTTAAATCGGAGAATTTGATTGCAGATAAAACCAATGTTAAAGGGATCTACTGTACTGATAGCACGAATCCTCTGAATGCGTGGAACATTACCGCTCAACATTTGGACAAATATTTAAATAGTACAGCTCCAATCTTCGATTCAACGGAAATCAAACAGATCATGCAGAATGCGATCGACGATATTAGCAAGTTCAACGAACAGAGAGCGGCCATTGCCAACAAATCCGATAATATCGAAGGAGAAATCTACGATCTAACTAAAAAGCTTCTTTCGCTGGAGAATCAAATTATCGATGTAAAAAAATCGATCCTGGATGTACAAATGTCACAACTAGCGAATGCAACCAACGAGACCTACGTCTCGAACGATCTGAAGAAAATTATGCTGGAGATAAACGAACTTACTCTCTCCAAACTGAAGCAAACTAAGGAAGAAATGGAGTTCAAATATTATCAACAGTCGTTCAAGAATGATAAACTTGAAGAGAAAATTACCAGTACTGCAGAAAAATTGATTTTGCTATCCAAACAAATTGATCAAACCAGAAGTTCATCATTTTTAAGTCACAACTCCATGGAATTAAAAGCACCATCAACAACAGAGGCGGCCTCTGGCAGCAGCGGTTCTACCCAAATAATGATGGTTCTGATACTGATAGCTCTGATTGCTCTGATAGCGATAGTTGTAATGGCAATCTATCGGAACCGGCTACCGTTTGGAAGGAAACGTGGAGAACGCTACGGTACATCCAACACCCTCGCCACGATGGTGGATGATATGTGAAAGTAGTGGGCGACTTCCGTTCAATTTCCGCAATTTGCTCGATGATAAGAGCACGAGTCGTTGGCGGTGAATATGTAAGAGTTATGTGTACAGTTGAGTTATGTTTGAATAAAGAACACTGGTGATATCACAACCAAATAAATAGATTTTGTCTTCAATGTATTGTCACAACAGGGCTTGCTCGGCGGCGCCAGTGGTGTAGTGGTAACCATGACTGCCTCTCACTCCAAAAGGGCATGGGTTAGATCGCAGTCGGCACCGCCGGGATTTTCTGAGGCATACAATCTCTGATCACGCCTCCGCACAGTGGGACCATTCTGAAAAAAAAGACGGTCAATACCTTTTTCCCCTCTTTATCGTCGTTTTAAAGACTTGGTGTCTTGGAAGAAGTTTCTCGTAATAATGGTCCGAGTCTTTTGAAATAATTACCTAAATATTTATTAAGCTAGTATTACACTAGCAAAAACTATTTTTTTACTGGTTCGAGATAATAGCTTCATGTCTTGAGCAATGTTGTAGAAAAACAAATTTTATGAAACTTTGCTCAAGACACCAAACTTCTATATCTTTATCTTTACAAGATTTAAGTGAATTCTTGACAGGAGCACCTTAAAATCGCTTTTTTGTCATTTTTTGTATTATAATCTCAAATAAACGGGTTGATGTGTTCTACAAAGTTTTAAATATTCTAAAAATACACAATTTTGCTCAATCCAACGGTAGTCTACATATATAGCTTTGTTTGGATTATAAACCGGTTTAAAGGCAAAAAATCACATTTTTTTTTTCAATTTATATTTCTTTTGAGTTTGCAGGTTTTAGCAGCCAAATTTAACATGGTGTGATCAGTCATGATGTGAAGTATAAACGAGCCTAAAATCTCAATCGGGTCTGGTCGGCAATTAGGTTTTGTCAGTAATTTGTTTCTATGCTTTTGTTAGTAAATCATATTTGTATTTTCATACGACCTCACTTACATTTTGTTTCTGCAGTAGTTTTGACGTTCAGTTTCTTGTTTTTTTCTGAAGTTGGTCAATGTCCTTTGTAGCTTTCAGCTGCTTTAGCACTTTCCGATGAGAACTTGCTGTAATATTTGCTGCTTTTTTTTTGCCACGCGTTATGGTTCGTGTTGTCGACTTTGGTACAGGATGAACCATCTCTGGGGAAACTTTGAACCTTGATGTCGATGATTCCGGCGTGTCCGTCTAGTAATAGCAACACGGGATTTTCAGCTGTCGGACGCGTATGGTTAAGAAAATGATCCAACCAAGAATTAAAGTCTTCAATCGTCATCCAACCCGATGAGTTGCATCGAAACACAGTATCTGGAGGTGCGCCCTGCTTAAGACTTTCCGTTAGACGTGCTCGTGGGAAAATTATCATTGGAGATAGAAACCAGCCAGCTGCCGACATACACATGCATGCGGTTGATAATAATCCCCTTTCGCCGGACGTAACACAGCCCACTTTTCGCCTTCCACGGAGTGCCAGTACCTTAGATTTCTTTGTTTGAACCTGCAAAATTATAAAAAGTATGTAATAACATGAGTGTACAACTACCTGAATGCACTAGCTTACCGTCACAACGGAGGTTTCATCCACGTTAAAGATCCGGCTTGGCGTAAACTTCCCGGCCGCGGTAATTTCCTCCAGAACATTGTAAAAAGTCTCTACATTATGCCTGTTGAACGCTTGTACACGCGCAGCTGATGTGGCTTCCGGTCTTCGAAGCGATAGTTCCGGATGCCTCTTCCGGAAACCCCTGAGCCAGTCTTTGTCAGCCAGTTGACTCTCGACGTTGAACGGGTGCTGTATTTGATTCCGAACCGCCATCTGAAAAGCCAAGCTGCGGATGTCTCGGACAGTTATTCCGTAACAGGACACTTCCAGTTTTAGGATATGCGACACCAGTTCGTTTTCCTCAGCGTTCGAAAAAACAGCAGCAAATGATCCGATATGCTTTTTTTCTGGAGTCCCCACGGTTTACTGCTTCCACTGCCCGTTTCATGGTGTCCTTTGACCACTTTTGCAGAACTGATGTCTTCTTGTAATTGCGGACCATATTGCCGACACTTGCGTTACGCATCAAAACAAAAACAAACCACTGACTGCTAAATTAGTGAGGTTACTTTTTCTCTCTGCTCACTCTACCCATCCAACGGTTACTCACTATGCCCCACCCTATGTATCAATTTTCAAATGGCAGGTTTGATATAAAATTAAATACATATTATGTGGATTATGATGCAAACAGTCTGCAAATGCTTTGAAAACATGTTTAAGCTAAATAAATACCTACGACGCGGTATTCTGAGTTCTTAAAACCCTATTTAGGATCAACTGATTTTTATACTGCGCAGTAAAAATTAAATGCGTTTTATGCGTTTATTAGTAAAGTTTAAATGCGTTTTATACAATAATTCTCTAGAAATTAATTGCAGCGACGATATTGAATTAATTTATTTTCAATTTAATAATATTTTAATAGAAATTTATGGCTTAAATACAGGGTGCTCATTATGGCAAACCCCATTACCTCGAAAAAAGACTTTGGAATTTTGTAGTGAGTGGGACGTGACACATGGAACATTGATGAAATGGCTTCTAAAAATGTTCACAACTATTTCTAAACCTCTTGTATATAATTTAAAAGCTTGATGCTCCACTAGGGTGGTTCACTTATTTATTCATATGGTGGCCCAATAATCTTATATTAGTCCAAAAATCTAAACTTTTTGTAACATTCATCTAAAAATAATCCAGAAAAGGGATATCCGCCTTCCATAATACCAAAACTTAGCGGCGCCGGTGGTGTAGTGGTAAGCGTGATTACCTCTCACCCAAGCAGGCCTGGGTTCAATCCCAGTCGACGCCACCGGGATGTTCTGAGGCATAACATCCCTGAGCACGCCTTCCTTCAGAAGGGAAGTAAAGCCGTTGTTGGTCCCCGGTTCATGAGTTGATGGGTCGATATGTATGGTCCAGGTGTGGGAGCTGCCTTCCTGGCGTCGGTAGCATTGGTGCTCAGCACGGAAAACAAGATCGGTGGAAAACAAATCAATAAAAAAAAATAATACCAAACTTTTATTTCATTTCCATCCAGTTAGAGGTGTGCTCCGCCGCGCCACGCCGACGCCGCCGACACTTTTTGGGCCACGCCGCCACGACACAATTTAATCGACGCACCGATTGTTCATAAACAGGGGCCTGACTGGCGGCCATGTTTTTGATGCTGTCATCTGTCTTTCTGCTTATAACACGATTTTCCGTCCCTTTCTACCATATATACGTCAGGCGGGCCGTATTTAAATAAAGCCCGTGTTGTTGCCTACTGTCAAACGTATAGGATTGATATAAGGTTGCCAGTCTCCTGCTTGACATGTATCACTACCCGAACAAAGTCTGAGATCAAATTGAAATCTAAATTTGATGTTGTGATTTCACTGATAAGGATTACTCAGGTTGCTGCCCGAGCAGAGAATGAAAACAAAATGAAAACTAAGTTTGATATTTTGATATAAGCGTTCGTGATCACATATTTTGCATACCGTGTGGTCGAATTAACAGTAATCATAACAAAAATAAGATCTAAATGGTATATGAAGGATATTAAAAAGATAACAAATTATGTTTTCTTGATAACCAATCCATCTATGCGTTTTGATGTTAGTAATTTTGTCAATAATAAACAAAATAAGTAATCAATATGTTATTATAACTTTGGTAGGAAAAAAATAAAAAACTAAATTAGTTATTATTTTGATATCATGATATCAAATTTAGTAATCTGAATGTTTTGAAATCTTTTGGTTGATATCAAGATTCAAAATCAAATAATGTTGTCAATAAAGTGCGAATGGTGCCATATTAAAGTACAGAACTGGAAATAATCATCCAGTGGTACACATTACAAGAAAGTATATAATGAATTGCTTTTGTTATTAAAGACAAATAACAAAACTTAAAATATGACGAACGATTGAAGTTGATTAGATCCAATAGCATAGAAATAGACAATGTGAAGTTTTTAAGTTTAGTTTCGTTTTCATGACAAATTCTAGTGGAATTATATTCAATATATGAATAGGACACACGAATTGTGTAAAAAATTAGTCTACGATGGCTCTTATATTATTATGAATGATAAATTCCTTCGCATCGAACATATTTTAACAGACAATGACGATATTTATTTTATTGGGAGAGAACTGATAACTAATAAAATTTATGATAACATATTTATATATGAGCTAAGAAACTGACTAAGTCTACGAAAGTTAAATTGCAATATTCGACAATGTATTAGTATAAGTATTACAGACGACCTGGACGCAATCAAATAGTAAATTCAATTCACAGGCAGATTAATATCAATAAATGTTCTAAAACAACACTGTAAGAATCATAATTGTCTTTGTGATGTTCATAAAGAAACCTGATTGACTAGTGAGAAGAAAAAATAAAAAAATATATGTAGATTTCAGTGATAAGTATGGATGCGTTTTTTTTAAATAAAATATCCAATTTTGTTTTAAATAATATTTTTAGAAATATCAAATAATATCAAAATATAAATTCAACCGAAATTTAAAAAAATAGCATATCAAAATATGTTGTCAACATGATTTCAAAAACAAAATTAGATATCATTTTGATAGTATTTTGATATCCGACTTTGCTCGGGTGTCGTTTTGGTCGTTTTAATGGTTAAAAGTCAAAATTGAGAGCAAAGCAATCTTCCTGTGACATCACATTGAAAACTATTTCTGCTATCAGTGAGAGCAAACTGAAAACTCAATTTGTTATCAATTTTTCCTGTTGATAACAAAATAAGTATTCAATTTGATGTTATGGTAAGGCAATGAAAATCGATGAAAACAAACCCGCAACAACATATTTTTGAAGAGCAAATATACAGCAAAATAAAAACAAAATTTGCCAATTGCATAAACTGAAATCAAATTAGGATTTCAGTTTGATGTTGATATTAAAACTTGATTTCAATTTGCTGTAATTTTGATGTTGGACTTTGCACGGGTACCTATTGCGTTTTCATTTTATAGACTATTTGAACTCTTTACTCTCATTCAGTGTTCGGAAAATCATTTTCAAATCTTATTCATTGA